TGTGAGTCGTGCTGATTTGTCTGCGTGTCTCTTTAAGATCAAGCGTGTCACATTCCCTCGGGAATGATGCTGCTGTGAAGCTGAGATCCAGAGAAAAAAATATGGGTCATGTACTCATAGGTGAAAGTCCCTGAAGGGGGGAGAACCATGAGGCAAAGGGAGAAACTGTCAGCCCAAGTCGAGGCTTAGGGGATTGGAGAGTACATCAACACAATGGCAATATCATTGCTCATAGTACTGCTCCTTGATATGGCTAACTGTGTTCAGTTTGTCTGGGTTTATAGAGAAGACGTATGCTTTCCCTTATTTTGTACATGTTAAACATCTAAACACAATTATAAATTAGGTCAGAATACAAACAACTAATCCCACTGAGCCAAAACCAGGCTTCAGGATCTAGGTACTCAAGTGCGCGCGCACACACACACACACACACACACACACACACACACACACACACACACACACACACACACACACACACACACACACACCCATCTATCTATCTATGTATATAAATAAATAATAATGGAGAGAAAACCTCAACAATCAGATGGCTCCATTAGAATTTTTTTTGTTTTTAATTTTCTTCTTCTTTGTTCTACTTCAGTTTTTTTCTACTGAAAAAGGTGTTGAAATTGTTACTTTTTTGTTTTAATTTCAAGATTTAAGAAACAAAAATTTACTTTTTTCCTTTAGCCTCTAAAACCTCAAGAACCCCCCCCCCATCAAGCAATTAACTATAAGAAACACATATTTCTTATAGTTAATTGTTAACCCTTCTGTTTGTGAGAGGCAACCAATCAGAAAAGTGAAAGTGATTTTAGTTCAGTCTAAAAATGAAACTATGTACGTGTAAATAAGCAACAGTATATCCAGCGGTGGTCTCTATAAAATTTGCTTATTAAAGACAGAGTGAGGAGTGAAGTCAGTTTGTGTGCATAGCTAATATAAATGCAGCAGGTGTTGATCAAAACTGTGGAGAACATAACACAAAGGCAAAAAAATAAAAACAATAAAATACGCATATTAAGCATTTAAAAGTGATTTCTATAAAAGATTACAATCATTTCTGAAGATTACAAAAATATTAGAAACAAATTATGATAATTTGCAAAACTACATTTGATCCACAAGGGTGCTTAATAATATAAACAAAAGATAACTGAGCCTTTACCGGAAAAGCAGAAGATTTTGGGGGGTTTGAATCCTGTTAATGACGTAGGAGAGCAAGAAAATGCCACAACTCTTAAAAACTTGCAACCTGATGAGATAAACAAGTGTCTGCTGAGGTGCTGAAGATGTAATATTTTAGTAGTCTTTTTAGTTTTATGTCTTAACTGTATATTTAATAAAGTCTTCATAGTCTCATTTATATTTGAGTAGTTTGACAAAGAAATTGTGAACTTTCGTCCCTGCTCTGACGTGATTATATTGTATCCTGTTTAACTGGATATGAGATGAGATGTGTGTGTATGTGTTTCTGTGCATGTTTGGTTGACACAGCTGCTGCTTGTGTTTGTTCAGGTCCCTTCCCTTCTTTCTGACCGGTGTGTTCCTGTTGTGCCTTTATCAGGAGGTCAGAAAGGAAGAATCCACAGTCACGCCTCCCCCCAACTTATTTTCAGTCTTCAGTTAGAAAAGAGTGCAGTCCATTCACTATCAAGTTAACTTCTCTATTTTATTGACTGCCTGGGTCAGTTCACTCAACCTTATGAAGGATAATCCCATTAGTCATCCTTTTAACTGAAAAAAAAAATGAACCAAAACTGAAGCTAACAGAAGATAAATTGAATTAGTGTATTTGTTGTTTAGTATCTATCAACATTATAATCATTTTTAACAGAACATAATCCAGAAAAAGTTGTGTACTTGATTTTCAGCTCTATATTTCACTGAGTAGAACCACAGAGATGTTGATTTGATAGTACAGACACTGTTGTACTGAGGTGACTTGTGCTGGATCCATAGAGCCCCATGTTAAAATGTTCAGTTTCTCAGCATTAAAAAGCATGTTTATAGTTCGGTAACAAAAATACATTGGCCTCTATGGATTGTTAACCCCTTAGTAATTCAGTTCAGTTCTTTTATTATAACTCTTCTACCTCCATACTGGACTTGAAGGGCTTCCAGGGGAGATTACTTTAAACCTTTAGGGGGCTCAACCTCCAATCATAATGTCATCAATATACTGCCTTGCAGTTAATGTTAATCTAATATTCTGCTTGCAAACATATTCAAACCTTTTCACCTTTACAAACCTAAATTCAACTGGATAAATATTAAAACGTTACCTTCAAAAGCAATGACAGTAATTGGGAAAATGCCAGGAATGAAATTTAGGGCTCCCAAAAAAGGGTTCAATGGGGGCTTCTAAGAAATGGCAGCAACGAGGTTTGAGACGCATCTAAGGAAGAGATGTTCATATGGAAAGTGTAATGTTAAAGCATCGAGCTGAAGTAAAGCTTTTGTTGTGAATCGACATTAATGTTTAAGAGATCGATGGACTAAAGAATTTAGACCCTGGAAGAAAACGAAGAACAGTTAAAAATTCAATTTATCTTAATAATTGGAGCTGCTTTTATCTGAGCTCATTTATCAGAGGAAAAAGAGGAAACAGATTAGCAGAGGAAAAGGGAGGACGAGTCACGGATATCCTCAGTCCTGCTTTGTTTTCTGAAGTGTCTCATCCTGTGGCCTGGAGCCGCTGCTGGATGAAACACAAGTCAACTTTTCAGGAATGAAAAGGAGCCTGCTTTAATTTTGCAGCTGTTACTTGGAGTGTTTTACAGCAATTAGTCAGCACAGTGACAGCCCCGGTTCCCCAGCTGTGTAAAAGTCACAGGTTTTTTAAGGTTTTTTAGGTTGTAGTTTGTACTCACAGTGCTTCTTGGCTGACGTAGCAGCTAACAGAACAGGACAAAGGAAATGCTGGAAATAGACTGAAGCTGAGTTGGGGAATCTCTCATTTAGCAAGAATATTTCTACTATATTAAGACCATCTGTCCCACTGGAGGTCAGATACAGTTCGTCTCACTCACAGGAGGTTCAGGCTGAGCTCTGTCTGCTTCAGCTATAGTACATACGATAACTTATTTACTTTTAGTCGACCTTTATTTGCATGCATTCTAGATTTCTTTTATACTATAATTGGTTTTAGTTTCCAATTTTTATGCTTCCATCCTACTTCTGGCATATTTCTCCAATTGTCTGAAAAGCGTCATCATCTGACTCTGAGGAGCATACTGCTTATTGTTTTCGAGGCAGCAAACACTTGCATCCCTCATCTTTTTTTTTTGCTCAGGCCCTTTTTAATCTGTGGTAATCCATCAGTATCTGTGTGGTCGCAGGTTTTAGCTGGGGCCAGGAGGGCTTAGCGGTTTATATTCACTGTGATCCAACATGATGTTCAACAGTAATTCACCCTTAATGGATTTATCCTAATACGGCTGGCAGATGGTTGGCATACTGATCAAGCCAATATCAGTATTGTGGCACAAACAGGGCCATCGTGCCATAACCTCACAGTGGATACTGGCTTTCCTTTATTGGGTTTCCTCGTCTTTGTAGACACTCATCATTGAGAGAATTCATTCACTGATGTAGATCTGTGGTGGCTAACCTCACTGGAGGCATGAATGCATGGTGCGTGTTATTGTAATAGTAGCATTATTGGATTTTAAAATACATATGAGTAGAATCAAACAGTTCAGGGTTCAGTTATTTTAGGCTTAGTTTAATTTAGTTAACCATCCATACATCCATTGTCTTCTGCTTATCCTTATCAGGGTTGCCAGGGAGCTGGAGCCTATCCCAGCATACGGCAAGAGTTACTCAAACTTCCTGTTTTTAGACTTGATTTTTACTCCAGTGATTCTCACGGTGTAAGAGTTTGACACTCATACCCAATCTGCACAATTTCTATTAATCATAAAAATTGTTGTGTAGTAGTAAAATGTCTATTTTTAAAGTTGGGATTGATTTACTGTCATAATACAAACATTTTGTTTCTTGCCGTTTCTCCCTCTCATGTTAACTTTGGGCAGATACACACTAAAGGCTGTGTGGCTAATCGAATGTAACTTTCAGCGATTAATAATTCAAAAAACGTGAGATAAAATGATCATAATGCAACATTTTGAATTATTATGATGCTCTTGGTTCGTCTTTCAGTGCACCCCTTTCCTAGATGCACTTTCTGCCAGGCTGTAGGAGGTTTGCTTCAGAAATTAATAGTTTCCGTTGAATTATAATTAAGGTACAAAAATCTTCCGAGAAAACTTTCAATAAATCTGACTTTTGTTCGATAAATTACTGTTTTTCAAAGTCTGTGAGTTGGCTTCTTCTTTGTCTTTATCTTCTTTTAGCTGCTCGTTGTCACATTAGCACATCATCTGCCTCCATCTCACCCTATCTCTAGCATCCTCCCACATGACACCAACCCTCTGTCCTCCTTCATCCACAAACCTCCTCTCAGGTCTTCCTCTTTTACTCCTGCCTGGCATCTCCATCTTCAACATCTGTTGACAATCATTTCTCTGCACGTGTCCAAACCAACTCAACCTTGCCTCTCTAACTTTGTATCCAAACCGCTCAAACAGAACTCTCCATCTAACGTACTTGTTTCTAATCCTGTTCCTCGTTGTCGCTGACAAACAATAATCGTAGCATCTTTAAATCTGCCACCTCCAGATTCACTGCCTTATTGTCAGTGCTTTCCAAAGTCTGTTAGTTAAGAGTTTTACATATTTGCAGTCTCACACACTGGACAGGTCATCAGTCTGTCTGATCCGAGGGTGAATATTAGCTTGCTGTGATGAAATGGTACATGAATGTGTGTGTTGTGTTTTCTTTGTATGATTGTGTATTCTTTACTTACAAAATAAATTAAAACATCTCTGCTCAGGTCATAGAGATAAGTATAAGAGGATGATGGGTGAATGCTTAGATAACGAGCCCATCTGATTTGTGATGATTCTTTTTCTTTCTTTCTTTTACAGAGATTATGAACGATGTTATCAAGAAGGTGAAGAAGAAGGGAGAATGGAAGGTGAGAGGACAGCACTCTGGGTCACGTGTAGGGCCCTGATATACAACAAACAAGATGATTAGAAAGCTTTTATCTAGACTCCGGCTGTAGAACTGACTGCCAGCGGGACCTATTCTTTTTAGTAAAATATAAATATATTATTTTATTCTTATAAATTCTGTTTTACATAGTGTCTCAACCTTTTTTTGGGAATGGGTTGTACCTGTTCATTACTTTAAAAAAAGTGCTAATATAGTCATTGAGCAGTTCTCTTCAAAGAAGCATAACTGGACTTTGCTCTGAATCTGTAGCTTATGTTTCAAAATTAGACCTGAGTCCGTAAAAGAAAGAAAAAAATGTACTGGTGAAATTTGTGGGACTAAATATAGGGTTTGCCAAACAGTGTCTTGTTCCAGCTTTTCTAATGTGCAGTAAATGAACTGTTTAGCTTAAACTTATAGGTAAAGTTAATGTCTTGGGGTTAGAAGATTACGGAGCCCCGCAGGGGACATGGAAGAAAAAAAAATTAGGGAGAAAAAAAAAAATTAAGACGGACTTTTGCGAGATCTCGCAAAACAAACTCGGGATCTCGCAAAAGTTGAATTCCAACAATGGCGGCAGCTACTTAGTTGTAATATTACTCTTTCTGGGTCACAAAATACACTTTTAAGATATTTTGAGGCGTGAATGTAGTTGTGTAAACGTCAGATACCTGCTCGGTTTACAAGACATCACATATTTGCAAAAATGCTCCGACGTTTTTGGAGATCTGACACCCACTAGCTCGAAGCTAACGGGAGGTCGAGACCTACTACAGCCGGGAGGAACACCGCTTTCCCGGCACATCGTGCCTCGACCTCCCGGTCGGATTCGAGCTGGCGGCCACTAGCTCGAAGCTAACGGGAGGTCGAGACCTACTACAGCCGGGAGGAACACCGCTTTCCCGGCACATCGTGCCTCGACCTCCCGGTCGGCTTCGAGCTGGCGGCCTCCGAAGAATGCGGCTAAAACTTTTGCGAGATCCCGAGTTTGTTTTGCGAGATCTCGCAAAAGTCCGTCTTAATTTTTTTTTTCTCCCTAATTTTTTTTTCTCCCATGTCCCCTGCGGGGCTCCGTAGAAGATTTATTTGTTAATGTTTGTTTCTTTTTATAATTGCTTTACATTTTTTACTCAGACAAACACCTATGACAAGAAAAACATATTATTCATGAATGGATGAATAATAGGATGGAATGGCAAAAAATTGAAAAACAAAAACCACTGCGTGCCTTACATGCACAGACGTGTTGGATGTAACTGGGTTTTAACAAAATCTAAAGACAAAGAAAATACTGGCCCTCGCTACCTAGTGTAAAATAATAACATTAATCCTGTTTAATAGTCATAGATTATTCAAAATGTATTTGTATAGCACATTTAAAAACAACAGTGTTGACCAAAGTGCTTCACAATCGGTTAAAAACAAGAGAAAACAATAGAGAAACAAATACGGATAAATGAGAAGACTATGAATTAACAATAAAAACATAAAACAGACCTGATGGTACTCATACTGAACTCGAATTAAAAGCCAAAGTAAAAAAGTGAGTTTTAAGATGCGATTTAAAAGACTGAATAGACTCTGAAGTACGAATCTCCTCTGGCAGATTATTCCAGGGTGCTGCTACTGCGAAGGCCCGATCTCCTCTGCGCTTCAGTCAAGACCTTGGTTGTGCTAAGAGCATCTGGCTAGACGATCTCAGTGCTGTTTTGGGGTCATACATGTTGAGTTCGTTTAAATAACTGGGTGCCATATTATTTAACTTTAAAAGTAAAAGAATCTTAAAATCAATACGATACTTTACAGGGAGCTGGTGTAAATTTGCTAAAACTGGAGTGATGTGTTTATACATACACCTGTTAAAAGACGTGCAGCAGCATTTACCATACCACGAGGCCTTCCAGACTCTTCGTCAACTCTTGATGGAGACACAACTAAATGTGTTCTTTTCGAGCAGCTGCACTATTTTGGCTCATTGGATGAAATGGATCCATTTCAGATGTTGCTCATTTGCTAAATGTGTCTGAGTAAAGACTGTGCAGAAATACCCAGCCAAATAATCTATTAGTCAAATATTTGAATGTCTCTAGAATCGGTCTTTATTAGTCATTTAACAGAGGCTTTTGGGCAGACCAATGGAAGGAATGATTCTCACCATCCCAGGAGATTACATTTTCAATAGTTCTTTTTTAGATGTTTTCCACAAAGAGATTAGAAGACAACAGTAGAAAATATAATAAATGTCATGAAACGCCGTGTGGCAGGCAGGAGATGAGGACTCAAAGTGCACGACTCACAGACTCAAGGAATGAACTCAAAACCACAGCTTTATTTGCTGGTCACAGAAAAACGGGCATACAAAGTAAACTAAACTGGGAAACAACAAACTAAAACTCACAGGGAGCGCCACACAGCAAGAGGGACGACACAACACTGACTCAGAGAAACACAAGGTTTAAATACACTGGGAAGTAATGAGGGGAATGAGACACAGAAGGAGGGCATGGCTGGGAGAAATCAGGACTGACGAGACAAGAAAAGCAGGACGCATTCACATAAGACACGGACCTTCAAAGTAAAACAGGAAGTATAACACAGAGACGCGAACTTGACACGGTGGAGACAGCAACTAAGAAACACAGAGACATAAACCATAAAGCTGAGGACTCTAAGAACCGAAAGACACAGAGGGAAACTCAAACATGCAGACACAGACTTACACAGAACAGAGGGGACACAGAGAAACATGAAGGGCAAGGGATCGAAACTCGAAACCATCGAATAACTCACACAAGTACAATAATACAAAAATCACAAAGAAGTAAACATGCTGGGTCAGGAGACAATAAAATATCAAATGGATACAAAACCTATACACAATATATATCTTGATGCGTAAATATGCAAATGGAAAATGTTTTTCATCACAGTGGTGCACATTAAATAAGCCAGAACAACTAAGACACACAAAAGACCTTGAAGCCTGGATGTGAATAAACCTGAGTCATCACTGCACAGTGTCTGTAAGGGATTATTCGAATAAGACTGTTTTATTGTCAGCTACATGTAATGAGAGTAATAAGTAGTTCCTGCCTTCGTGTGTTGCCAGGCTCTGATTGTGGACCAGCTGAGCATGAGGATGTTGTCATCCTGCTGCAAGATGACAGACATCATGACAGAGGGCATCACCAGTAAGAGCCCATCACATTTAACTATTTCTTTGAACTGCGAGGCTTATTTTGTTCGTACCTGCGACTCTTTAACATGTCTGTGCCTGTTTCTGTAGTTGTGGAGGACATCATGAAACGACGAGAGCCACTGCCGAGCCTGGAGGCCATTTACCTGATTACACCCACAGAGAAGGTAGGGATACTCCTTCTTTTACCTATAGAGGCACATCCCTGTCAACAGGTATGCACTTTTAGAAGAGAGATCAGACAAGCTGCCATATTAAGCTGTTGACTTAGTCAAGAAAGATCGCTCATGCTTCTTAGTTTCCATGATCTATCTTTACATCCAAATTTCCTTTATTTGTTGAAAGTTGTACAGAGTTTATAATATACCTCAAGTTGAATGTTGCAGACCACGAGAGAGAGAGGCTGCAGAGCTTGGTCATCAGGGAGGGACTCAGAGTAACGGTTATCCCTCAACTGAAAGGTGTCAGTTAAGGTAGTTCTGGTATCTGATTAGGATGCTCCTGAATACCAAGCATTAGTGCCCAGAGCAGCTCTGGGACATTCTGGAGAGATTGTGAGTCTTACCTGGCTGATGTTCCCTTGGAAGAACTAGAGGTGGTGGCTGGGTGGAGGGAGATGTAGGCATCTTGGCGCAGACTGCTGCCCCTGCAACCCGGACTGGGATAATTGGAATCAGAATCAGCATACTTTAGCAGCGATAGATGGATGAATTTTTCTTGGAGAAAAAAAAATCATTCATTTCTCTTAGAAGTGAAGAAGCTTCTCGGATGAGAGCTGAAACGTCTTCAAGAAACATAAAAAAGTCCAGTCGCTTTTCTTTCCACGCTCCTTAGATTCATGTATTTCAATCTTATACTTTTACACTAAAATAACTTCACAAATTAACAAATGGTTTGGGAAAATGAAAGTGAATATTCAAAATGTAACATGTGGTAGGGTTCTCCAAGGCAGGAAGGCCAGGCCAGTGCGGACTCTGGGACGCTGGAGAATGTAAACGCAGCTCATGGTTTGAAAGGGAAAGACTGACACGCACTAACCTCTACTTGCAGCTTGACTAGCTACCAAAATATTGATCAGAGAAGCTCACATTATAAAATGCACATATTGTAAGGATTATCCTTGCTTCACCTTATCTTGAAGATTAAAATACAGAACTTTCATCGCAACACATCTAACCTGTTTCTCTCTCTTCAGTCTGTCCACACCGTCATTGCAGACTTCAAAGACCCTCATTCATCTAAATACAAGGCAGCCCATGTTTTCTTCACTGACTGTGAGTACACACAAGGACTTTACAGACAACCTTCTATTTGATATAGTGTTGATGCTGCTAAACAAGACTGTTTTGGATGTTGAGGGGTTTTTAATTGTTGTAATTTTTTTCTTTCCTAGATACGAAAACGAATTTGATGTTGATGTTGTTACAACGTCTAATCCCACAGTTTCCTCAAAGTTCTTATAGTCACCTATTGTCTTCTTGTTTTGAAACACATGTGAACCTGTTTTATTAGGTCAAGTAAGAGAGGATCTTTTTGTACTAATAATCAAATATTCCCCTAATTTAAAGTGTTTTGTAGACAAATTAAGTAGAACTATACAAAAGTAGTTATTTTTCTTTAAATATGCTTTATCCCTGCACTATTACAGGGGGTTACAGCTTCATAATAAGAGACTGAGTGGCTACGATGTTGCAGTTTCCCTTTAACAGAGTCACCTTGGCCTTAGAGGTGTCTTTATAGTGGAAGAATCTAAAGCTGCATCATGTTAAATGAAGGACGAGCTTCCATTGAAGCACTCTGTCAAAGTAATATGAAGAAGTTTAGTCAAAGATGATCTTTTAGAGACATCATAGGTCGATTCAAACTCTGGTGTTTAAGTGTATTTGTCTGTGAATGTGACTGAAACTAAGCATCATGTGGTATTTTCCAGCATGCCCCGATCCTCTCTTTAATGAGCTGGTGAAGAGCCGGGCTTCCAAAGTCGTCAAGACTCTGACGGAGATCAACATCGCCTTCTTGCCCTACGAGTCTCAGGTAAACATACTGTGCAGCCCTGCATGGTGATGGTGCATAATGAAATGCAGAAAAGCATGTTTAATCTCTACAAAAAGATTCTGCATACCAATACGTATAATCAGTATTAAAGTTGTGCCCACTTGTTAAATGATGATGACCCTGATTTCAACTTCAACTGTGTCCTGCATTGGAGGAGCCTCTTGTCTTGAATAGACACAATCGCATCAATAACTATTAAGACATCATTCTCTGCTTCTGAAGGATACAGACAGCTCATCAGGAGCTTTTCATAGCAAGTAATTCAAACGTTGCAGCTTTGTCCATTTCTGGTTACTTCTTGGGGCAATATGACAGCATTTCTCTGTGCTTGTCCCTGAATGGTCTTTTAAGAACCCTCTTCCGACATCTTCTCTATGCTGATGTGTTTAAATGAACCTATCCATAGTTCTAACCATGAGGTAGCAGATTACGATATATCATGTAGCTTCACTAACCCTAAAAATGTTGATGGCATCATCATCAAAATATTATCTTAAGATACTTTAATGGATGCCTGGATGTTAAGCTTTATTGTAACACCCGGGAGAACAGTCAACTCATCAGTTTATTGGACGTGAAGCAGTTTGGATGGTTTCTTGTATCTTCTGTGCTTGTATGCCTTTGGGACTTAAAAGAGCATTTTTGACATGAAAATGGTTAATGAAGTCAGACTTAACATGCAGTCTGACCAGCCACACCTGAGCATGCAGTTCGGGTAACAAAGTCCATGTGATGGGCAAAAGAAAAGAAATCCCCAATCCTGCTGTCTAATTGCAGTTTAGCTTTTTAAAGCACATCTGCATTTTCAAACTCTTAGAACTGTGCAGAACAAAAACTTCCACTCAAAGTCCATAAATATGCATTATTGTCCTTAACTATTGCCTAAAACGCCAGAGCCAGTGGTTTTGGTCCAACATAGCTAATGAATCTTTTTGTTTACCATTTATAGAGATGGTTCTGGGACTCTGCATCCATTAACACCTACGTGTAGGACTAGAAATCAGGCTTTTCAAAAGGGACTGAAATCTGCAGTGACTAAGGTTATAATATAAGAAATCATGCACATGCATGGCTTTATAAACGATCAATTTAGATCAAGATTTGTGCCATTAATGCCTTCTTGTGCTATTTCACAGCACACTTTCCTACACAATGACTGAAACCCAGCTGAGTTTTACTGTCTGTTAGTGACAACAGAGAGAGAGAGAAGGAGAGGGAGAAAGATCCAGAGATGGAAAGCTTGAGCAAGAGCAGCTGCAGAGATCGATTAAGACAGGTGGGAGGAGAGAAATGCTGCAAAGGATGTGGGCAGGAATAGTAACAGCGAGGTTATTGGTCGGAAGAGTCAAGGATGGCTAAAGAGAGGCAGAGCGAGAGGACAGAGAAACGCACTCAGGTGGAGACTCGGCACAAAGCTGCTGACTCACCAGACTCTCTGTTTACTGCCAGACTGTTCCAGAAAGACTCACATTTATCACACTGATTTCTCTCCCTCCCACCTGCTTCCCCACCCTTTGCCTCCATCTTGTCTTCTTCTCTGCCTCTCTCTGTTTTCTAGATTCTTTTTTTAAAGTCAGGTGCACGTTCTTATCTTTGCTTTTTCCCTCTCATTTGCATTTACTCCATCCTTTTCTCCAACCATTTTACCCCATTTTTCCCTCCAGCAACCACCCCTCTATTTACTGCATCTCTCTCTTTCTGTCTGTCCTTTGCTCTCACAATCTAAAGATGCTTCTTGGCCCACAATGCTTTGCTTCCCTCTTGTCTACTATGATTAATTCAGAGTCAGTGGTTTTCTGCTTCAGGCAAAAATGCTGCCTCATAGTCCCGCCCACAGACTTGCCCAATTGGGCGATTCACATCCACACAGTGGGCTGCGGCCAATGGTGGCCGTTCTGAGGCAGGGGCCCTTCTGCAGCGCAGGAGTGTGGTCATGTGACTGTGGACAGATGGGTTGGGAGAAGGGAGTGGTAGTGATGCAGGAGAGGAGAAAAGAGAGGAGGAAGAGGATAGAAACGAAAAGAGACAGAGGGAGGAGGTGAAATAATGGAACAGTAAAAGACAAAAGAGAGGGTGTAGGATGATGTGGTGAAGATCGAGTCGAGAAGACATTAAAGTGCAGGGGGATGAAATGGTAGAGACTGAAAAAAGAGAGGGAGAAAACAT